TCGACCAGCAAATGGTTTACCCGCCTGACGACGGCTCAGATAGGCATCTACATTAGGACAGTTATATAAGTAGCTATGCATACAAGTACGCACAGGTATACACATATGTTGCACAAGCAGCAAAACGGTGAACAGACGGCTGTTGACATATTTCACCACACATTCCTATTTTTTTAAAAAAATGTGGCATCAGGCTCGTTATTCCCACTTGCACCCGCCCAGAAATGAAAAAAAAAAAACATAATCAATCACCCCACGCGAATGGCCTCTACACTTCACAGCGGTAATTATAGCCACATACCTCCACCGACTAGCCGGCGGCTCGCTTTGCCCCTCCAACTGCGTCCCCGCTGATCCCCCGTCTCTCGCTCGCCGCCTCCGTGCGGCTAGAGGGTCGGCGCCGCACACGCGTCGTCATACACGATGCACACAGCTGGACCTTGTTTTTTATTTTCTTTTTCGTTTCCTTTTTATTCCTTGTTTACTTCGACCTCTTTTCGTAGGTTTCCTCGCCGGTCTCCAGGGAGACGCCAAACACCTCAATGTACTTCACCGTCGGGAGCTGGTAGAAGTGCTTCGGCTCGACGCTGCACACGTATACCCGCTCGACGACGCTCAGCACGCCGCCCACGACGGCAAGCAGAACGACCAACGTATCCGTCGCCTCCTGCTGCTTCTCTTCACCGCCAGCCGGGTTCGCCGCGCCCTCCGCCTCAATGTCGTTCTCCATTGCAGCTCCAAGGGGCGGAAGCACCAGCAGCAGCAGCGGGAAACCGGGCAGCGCAACGTAGGAGACGGCTTGTGCGTCGAAGTGTTGCAGCCATGGCCCAATGTCCTCCTTCGTGGAGTCAGACTTCACCGCGGTGAGTGGTTTGGCGCTGCAGCCATACGCCAGCTTCCGCTGAATGAAGCTGAGCTCGCTAATCTCGTTGGTGACGCCCCTTCTCCGCCGCTCCTCGAGGATGGAGGGCTCCAGTATGACGAAGTAGGCGTGTACGGGGTCGGAGGGGTCCGTGACGCAGCGGCGGCCGGCACCGGACTGCACCGACTCCCGCGTCCCTGCGTCCAGCAGGTTTGCCGCGTACGCAACGACGCTGCGGTTCTTGCTGCGCTGAATGTACATAAAAGTGTCTTTGGTGTCGTGGTCGAAGCGCCCACCGCGGGGAGGCAGGCGTTGGCGCAGCAACCGATTGAGCGACGTCGCATCACCCGCGCACTGCGCATGCGCCGCGCACGCAATGGACCCGCAGTCCTTCGCGTGTCCCATTTGTTTTTTTTTTTCAATTATGTTCGTTTCTTTTGAAGTCTGCGGGGTAAAATATATATATATATATGACGCGGCGTGCCGCACGCCAAACACCGCCGGCTTATTTGCCCATGATGCACGCACACGGCGCGGGGAGGCGGAAACGAGGCCAAAGAAGGCGGGGAAGAACGAAAGGAAGCGCAGGGTGCGAGTTAACTACAGCCACGGCTCCCACGGAATAAACGCATGCGCAGAAAACTGCATGGTACAGCAGAAGCAAAAACAAAACAAAAAGACTCAGTGGCGTTTACAGAAGAAAAGGCTGCAACTAAGAAAACATCCCGCATTGTTGCTTTCCTCCTCGCCGTCCTTCTTGCTGTTGCTGTTGCTGTCGCGTTCTTCTTCTTTCCATCGCTGCTCGCACCGTCCTCTTTTGCCGCCGCCAATGACCGGGGAGCAGCAGCAGCAAAACTTACTTGTTGTACGGGAGTCGCGGACGTTTGCCGTACCCCTCCGTCTTGACGTACCGCGCGCCGAAGGAAAACTGCTTGGGCCGGCGACCGTACGCGTGCCCGTTCTGCTGCCGCTCCCGCACAAGTTTCTCCTGTGCGTAGAAGTGTCGCCAGTCATGCGGTCGGTGCTGGAACGGTTTGGTGTGATTGTCAGAGACGTTTTGGATAAACCAGTCGTTGAACTCGCCACACGCCGCACTCATCGCCTGCCGCAGGTGTCCGACGCGCGAGAGGCACACGTCCAGGGCGCGGCTCTCGCGCTCGCAGGTGCTCTGCCCTCCCTTCGCCATGCACACCCGCAGCGCCATTGTCTCCGACTGGCACATCGTCAGCTGCTCCTCGCCGCTCAGGCCGACGAGCTTCGCCTGCGTGAAAACCGGGGAGCCGCCCAGCGACGGCGACGAGTCAATCTCGCCGCGACCCGAGCGCCGCACGCCAAGGTTGTCAAAGGAGGTCCCGCGACCAAAGTTCACAAGATTCGTTGGGTTGATGTAATCGTAGGCGTTCACGGGCTTGAGGCCGTACTGGTTGACGCCGCTGTCGTGCTGCCGCGACTTCAGGACAACCGGCGTGTAGCGGTAGACGTGGAAGATGTCGGAGGCCCGCATCTGCTCCGCCGCTGAACGGTAGCTAAGCAGCGATGCCAACCCACTCCACCCCCTCCCCTCCTACTCCCACCGCAGCCGCCGCCGCCGCCAATAGGGCCACTACAAAATACCAATACTACTACTAATGCCACCGCCACACACGCGCAGCCGTCTGCTCGGTGGGGGAGGCCGCGGTGTCTGTCGCTGCGAAGGAGAAGCGGGAGGAGCGCAGGCGCGGTGCCAAGCGGAGAGGAAGGGGGAAGCACACATCAACACGCACGCGTATTCGCACTCCGCACACCCGCAGAGATATATATATATATATATATGAGAGGGAGAAAAAGAGTCCACAAGGAAAGAAACGCCAGCAACAACAACCGACCGTCGCACGTCCGCCCCCGCAGCAAAGTTCCTCGGGAGGAAAACGAGGCGAAACGGGACTCGCACAGAGCACAATATTATTATTATTATTATTACTGCTATTTGTTTGGTTTCGCCTCTGCTGTTTTGATTTCTGTTTGTTTGTCTTTGTTTTCCTCTTGTTTTGGATCTTCGCTTCCCCACCCGCCTCGCTGCACGCGCCCCGCGCGTCTTTAGTGAGTCCCCGCTTTGCTTCCTTCAGACGGCACAACGGCGCGGGCGGCGGTCAGCGGAATGCGCGCATGGCCGCAAGGACAACCGCGGCCGCAGCAAAAAGCGCCGAAGGAAGAAGTGGGGGAAGAGGAGGACACGCCCGCACGCACGAAGGCGGAAAAAAAAAAGGGGGGGGGGAGGGGGAAGATACTCACGGACTTGCAAAAAAAAAATAATAATAATAATAATAATAAAATACACTTCCCACCAGCAGCGACAAGCAACAAAACGACAAGAAGGAGGAAGGCGACCGAATAAGTACGCATCAGCCTTGACTAGGCAGAAATAACTGCAGCAAAGGGGAGGGGGAAAAAAAAACAAAGAACAGGGCAGAAGCGAACTTGGATGAGTGGCACGATGCCATTGAAACTTTGATGTGTGTGCGCCGGCAGGCACGACATCTCGCGAGGGACGCTCACTCCCCCTTCTTCACCGAACCTCGCCGCTGGAGCCACTGACTCACGGAAGCACTGTCAACAGCTGAAGCTCGAGGTGTTGTAAAGGAGGCTGACTCCTGGCCGCCGCTCCAGCGAGGCGTGGGCAACGGCATGGAGGCAGAAAGGGAGGAAGGCATAAGGAGTTCGTTGAAGGGGCGCAGCACGTACGTCTCGTCGTCGCGCACAACCCTTGCGGCCTCTTGAAGAGCAGCTGATATTATAGCCCCGTCGGCTATATGGTACAGCAGCGTCGTCTGCCGCGAGGTGCGAAGGTGCAGTTCGCTTAATACCGCCATGAAAACGAGCTTCGTCCGGGCAAGCGCCGGATCTCCCACAACTTTTGCGTCGCACTGCACAAGTGCCCCCTCCATGTTTTCCAGCATCGCACGAAGCGTCCGGCAGTGGTCCATTACTCGGTGCGCGTACGTTGAGGCGCTGCCCACGATATCCTGCAGGGCTAGCGGACGCGGCGGAATGGGTTGGGAGCGCAAGGAGTGCGCGCTGCCCCCGCTCCCGCTATCGTGCAGCTGCAGGAGGGGAGAGTTGGGCGGGGTGTCAGTGGCGGCAATTTGCGGTGACGGCCGCGCCGCGTCTGTCGCGCACCGCAGCGCCGCAGCATGCGCCTCACAGGCCCTTTCAAACGATTTGAGGTGCGACACCTCAACGTCCAGCAGGGCAGCACCGTGCGAGAAGCGGCTGAGGCGCAGAAGCAGCTCGTTGACCACGCCACTCAGTGAGAGTTCACCCTCCTGTGGAAGTCCCGCCTCCATCGCAGCCTGTGACACGGTGCTCTCCACCTCCGCCTGGGCGGAACTCGCCTGCGCCTGGGCGGAGCGCAGCATTTGCCGCAGCCGCGCCACCTCCGCCCGCAGCACCTCGCACTCGCCCCGCCGCTGCTCAAGTGACTCAAGGGCGGAATCCCGTGCGGTGCGGGCCTCCTGCGCCGCCTGCCGCTCCCGCCGCAGCTCCGCCTCTAAGCCGTCAGCGTTGGTGCGGTGCAGCTCGTTGGTGTTGGCAAGCACCCGCTCCAGGTCGGCAGTCGCACCGCGCGTCACCCGCTCCAACTCCAGCGTCCGCTCCCGCAAGGCGCTCTGCAGTTGCTCCCTCTCCTCCAAGTCGGTTGCCGACTGCGTCTTGCAGCGCTCCAGCTCCTCTGAGAGGGCACGTATCGTTAACTGCTGCTGCGCCGCAATCTTCTCCGTCTCGTGGGCGGCGCTTGTAGCGGCTGTCAACTTCTGCTGGAGCTGATGCACGTCCCGCTGCAGATCCGTCACTTCCTTCCGTAGAGTTCCCTCCGCAATTCGACTCAGTTCCATTTTCCGCGCGTGGCGTTCCTCGCACTGCTCGCCTGCGCGCTGCTTCTGCGCCAAGGCGTCCACGGCGTCGTCAAGTTTTGACTGCAGTGTTGCGGCCTCTCCGCGCAGCGACCGCACCGTCGCCGACAGCTGCTCCTGCTGCTCCGCCGCGGTTTGCTGAAGGGCGCGGCAGTGATCCGTCATCTCCGTCAGCTGGCGGCGGCGCAGCTCTGCGTCGTCCGCGCTCCGCGTGCTCGCTGCCTCCAACACCTTACACTCCTGCCGCGCCGCGTGAAGGTCCCTCTGCAGCTGCAGCACCTCCTCTTGCAGCTCGGCAACCCGCGCCTCTTTCTCCGCACGCTCCCGCTCTATGGATTCCTGCTCCGTGCCTGCCAGCCCCCGCACCCTCGCGAGCTCCTCGGCGCCGCGGAGGTTCTCCTTTTTGAGGGCGTACGCCACTTGCCGCATCTCTTTCAACTGCGTCTCCGCCTCTAGGAGGGTGGCGCGGCACCCGTTGAGTTCCTCCTGCGCCTCTTCCAGCGTCTTCCGTACCGTCTGCAGCTCCGCATCGTGGGATTCCTTCTGGTGTCGGAGTTCCCTGTGCAGCTGCTCATTGTGCCGATTCGTGGCCGCCAGGTGGTGCTCCAGGCGCTCCAACTCCTGCCTTGCGCCTACACAGTCGCGGTTCAGAGCATCCCGCTCCGCGGTAAGGCTTGCGTGGGCCGCGTCTAGTCTCCCAAGCTCACCTTCCAGGGTCTCGCAGCGCCCTGTTAACTGTTGAATGGAGCGTCTCTGCTGCTGGTCTTTGCTGTGATGTTCATCCTCCGCCTGCCGCAGCCTCGCCTCCAGAGCATCAACGCGTTCCTGCAGGGCGCCTTGCTGCTGCTGCGAGTTCTGCAGTTCCAGCTGCAGGGCACTGTTGCGGTGCTCTAATGCCGCCTGGCGGCGCTCTGCGTCACGTCGCCAGGTTGCGGCGTCGCTCGTGTCGTGCGCGTGGATGGACTCCAATGCACTGAGCCGTGCGTGCGCCGCCTCTGCCTCCTGCTCCTGCTGCGCCGTGCGAGTGCGCAGCCGCCCAAGCTCCGTCTCGCTTGCCGTCAGTTGCGCCCTGAGTTCATCGACCTGGGCGTAGGCCTTTGCGCACTCCTCGCTCAGGGTGGCCTGGGCGGACCGCAGCTCGCCCAGCGACGCATTGAGTGCCTCGATGTGGCGCCGCGCCACCTCCTCCGTCGAGGTGCTGCGCTGCGACAACGCCGTCAGCTGCTGCGTTGTGTCCATCAGCTCCGCCTCCCGCGCCGCCCGCTCCGCCTCGAGCCGCTCAAGCCGCGGCAAGACACGATCCAACGAGGCCTGGGCGGCCTGTGCCTGCCTTGCGGCATCGTCGCGCTGAAGCCTGTACTCCTCCACCTGCCGCTCCGCGTCCTCCAACTGCCGCTTCGCCGTCGCCTGTGCGTCGCGGAGCGACTGCGTCTTTTCGAGCAACTCTGCCTGCAGCCGCGCCGCCTCCGCGTGCTGCTCCGCCGCCACCTCTTCAATGCGGGCATTCGCCCGGGCGAG